GGGGGGGGGGGCAAAAAGACGACAGGATTGATCGTGAAAATTGTGCCAGGATGCGAGTAACCTTGTTGGGGGGGATGGAGAGGTTCAGGATATTATATTGGGGAAAGGAAGGAAAATTCATTTCGAGACCAGTGGCTTACGGCCCTCTGGGAATCCCGTGGAAACGACGATTGTGAGGTATAGACGACCACTTCCGAAAGTTCGTACCTCTGGGGATATCTCTCTGTCGATAGTTCTCATTCCTGGCCGGTATGGGGATTGGGGGGCGATCATGAAGTTATTTTGATCGATAAAATAGTTATTTGAACAGAAAGAATTTTTCGTAATGGGATACAACACTCCTCTTTATTTATTTGATCTAAACAATGAGAAATTGTTCTTGTATTGCGTATAGTATAGTTATTTTTGATAATGAATTAGCAATATGCTTTCGAATGGTTATTTTGCATATCGTTTCCTTCTGTCATGGATAATTCATTGTTTATCTCATTTTATTAAATTTAATAAGATTCCTTTTTAACTAATTTTGTCAGATTTTCAATTTAGTTGGATGCTATCATCGTCATTATTGTTACTATCCCTTTCTTCTAAACGACTAATTTTTTACGATTCTATCTCGCCCCTCAGCCCTTCGATAAAATGTTAATCGAAAAATTTTAGTTATGCGTGCATGAATGAATTCGAAACATCACATTTGAAAAAATCACTTTCAGGAAAATCCGTGAAAAAATCAGGATATTTAAAGATATCCCCAAATTCTACTTTTCAAGAAATACAAATTTTTGCAATTTTTCACATAAATAAAAATAATGATGATTGCTATCGCCTGCATCGTCGAACTCGGTCAAAAGGACATGCAAACAAATTTTTTAAGTCATCATTCAATCAATTCAGAAATTTTTTTTTAGTTATCGTAGGACAATCGAATTTCAAAAAAATTTGAAAATTTTAATTAGTGGCGATTATTAGGCCTCAACAATACCTATATTTGAAAAACAACAAGATTCAATTCCGTCCATTAATCAGCGAACAATTGAAGACAACAAAAAATCCAAAACTTTAATTTGAACGATTGCAAAGCTTCTATTTGGGGCAAAAATTGAAAATTTCTGGTAATTTCTTGATTATTGTTTACTGTATAGATTATTATGGAATGATAAAATGTGAAAGAATTTAAAATTGGCCGGAAAATTGGTCTGGATTAAGATGAATTAATTTCTCTCCTCCACAACACGAAATCGCTAATTTGTGAAAGCAACTGCTCTTCGCTTTTAACCCAGGAGTCACGTCGAGGACGTGGCGGTGCGTCGGCTCCCGACGAGAACTTGAACAACACCAACAATCCTACGAGACCATGACTAAACTTTTCTGATGAACCAATTCCTCCAAAAACGAAACATTCGCAATAATTCTCTAAATAGTAGTGAAATCTCTGCGGACATATGGATATATACTCACACATTATTGCATTATAGATGTTGTGATCAATCCATTACAATCCACATCTAAGATTACAAAATTAATCGCTTCCGCATTTATGGATTTATCGGCAGAAAGATGTTAAATAATTTCCAGTCCTGAGGCAAAGCCAAATCACCACACAAATAAACCACTCGACACTCGCCCCGGAGACTCGATTCATCACAACACCAGAACACGACTGAATAATATCTGACCTGCGTGGATAAATTCTGTAAATCTCCCACCACAACACATTCTTGACGCACTAGACCTCTGCTGGAGAGCGACATTTTTTAAATTCAGATTATTGTTTGCACTGATAAATCATGGAGTTTGGTATAAAAATTATTAAATCAAAATTTATTTAAAGTCGTGCATTGTCTCACTTTACCGAATTTTCAAACATGAATGATGGGGTTATTCAAGGGGCCTAAACGCTTTATGAAAAATCTGAAGATTGAAAATTGAAAAGAAAATTGAAACCTCATGGACAGTTGACTGATAATTTTAAGGGGAATCACATTTAATTTGATTTGGAGAGAAAAATTATAAAATTTTGAGAGTTTACTGAAAATTCAATGAAACAATGAAAATTCAATGAGACATTTTTGAATATTAAGACGAGAATTCCTCAATACACTTGAATTTTACATAAACACCTGAACATTCAGTACCAAATTGCGCTGGATTTTCAATTCCGTCAAAATTGAAGAATACTTTCACCTCAATTTTTCTTATTTCTATTAATTTTCAAATAACAATTGACCTAAAATTCATAGTTTCCGCTGATTTTTCATAAAATTTTGAGCGTCAGTGACAAAACTCCCTGAAATTCCAGTAAAACTATTACGTGACAAAAATTTCCAAAAAGTGTAGCGGAAATTGCATCAAAAAGACAGTCGCATCCCTCATTACGTCAAGCGAAATAAAACACAGCTTCACATTAATAGACATCGTCATTGTTATGTCATTCTTCAAGCAACAAAAAGAATACAAATTTGTTTAAAACAACTGAATGTATTTTAGCAACCGACATTTTTCAATTTATAATATTATAAGTGTTCAGATGCGATTATTATTCAATTAAAAAAATGAAAAACATGATGAAGATTATAAATGCGTTGTACTAAATTATTCCAATATTTTCGGGGTCGGTTGGTGCGGGATATTCGAATAACTTCAACTCATTACAAATTGTTCATTATAAAAAGTTCTAAACTTGGTGATACCAGTACTTTAAATGGCCACGTGGACTCGCCGTACGCTATTGCAAGACAGTCTTGAAACGATTAAATCCAAACCGATAAAACTTGGATGAAAAAACTCACTTTCAATCCTGTCCTCCGCATTACACCCAGAAAAAAAAGCCATCACCTCGGCCAACTTCCAAGAGGAATAAGCGCATAAGTAATTCAAAATCCCAAGGGGAAAAAGCGTCTGCAAAGTCGTTTCGCTGAATGTGAAGTGGGGAGCGAGAAAAGTAAAATGGAATAACGTGAGGGTCGATAGAATAGATGGACCGGATCACGATTCGTCTCCCGAGCTCTTATATTCATGTAAATCTTTTATGGTCTACCGAAAACGAGCCAGAATTTACTTGCCAAGTTATTATTCTCTTCTCGAGCAATGTAGAATGTCATTTAAAACCGATGAAAACTAAATGCTGAATTTATTCGTAATTGGATTTTCTATTTACAGAGAAGCTCGATATCACCGGCGGAGAGAGAGAAGTACAGTAGACCGAGGAGTACTCCAGACCCGCAGCATCACGATCACATGCTTCACAAGAAGATGAAGAAGGAGCAGGAGAAAGATTTGGGACACGTAAGTTTTTATTTTATTTTATTTTTTTTTATTTTTATTTTTTTATAAATAAACTTGATAGTTTTTATAATTACCGAGATCATTTTAAAATTCATTAGAGACATGATGGTACCTCAAGGATCATTCTTATAGATATTTTTAGTTGATAAATTTTGATGGGATTTCAAATTGATGATAGTATTATGAAATACAAAAATAAAATAAAAAAAAATAAAAAAAGAGAATAATGAAAAAAGAATTTGAAAAAAAGAGAACCCATTGGGAATCAAATTGCTAATTTACGTGCAACAATAACTTTACTCATTTATTAAAAAATGCAATTGTATTTTTATTTAAAAATATTTTTACAGCAAAGCGATGGCGAAAAGAGTGATCAAGACCTAGTGGTCGATGATGCCAGTGAGGAGGCAACGAGTCCAGCAGCGAATGGTACCTCATCTCCAAGAGAAAATGGACTAGACAAAATGGGTTCGTCATCAGTAGGTCCAATGGGTGGACAACTGAAGAAGGAAGTCCCTCCGCCATCGCCCAGAAGTGGAACAAGTAGTAATGCCAGTACACCATCAGCCAAGAAGATGGAGGAACGTGAGAAGCCAACGACACCAATTTCAAAGCCAGTGACACCGACATCAGCTGGAGGGAGTAGTTCAGGATCGGGTGGGCTCAAGGCAACGAGCTCGAGTAAAACTCTGGTATCAGCTGCATCGGCAGCAGCTGTTGGTCCTTATCCCCACTATCCACCACCTCATCATCCACCAGCCGGACCTCACGTTGACATGCTGGCGTATCAGCCTGGTGCACTCAACGGTTATCCAGCTAGGCCACCACTTCAGCAGCTCTACGATCCCCACGGCACCATGAGAGCACCACTTGGGCCACTTGGAGTACCTGGCGGCAAACCGTAAGTGTTCCTTTGATTCTTAAAAATAGGTTAATTAGTCTTTTGTTGGGGTGTTGCGTGGGGGGAGTTTTGAGAGTGACGTTTTTACATCGTTGTTATCAGTAATGGGAGGATTTATTCGCAGTCATTGGGGGAATTTTAATGAATGTAGGGGCTGATTTGAAATTGAAATTTGAATATTTAGTACTCAATTGCGGTAAATTTTTGTGATTTCCAGTAATTTCATGGAATGATTGAACCGAAATTTTCAGTTTTCATTGAATTTCTCGTAAATTTAGTATTTTCAATGACGAAATAACTTATTCACTTCAAGAGTGACTTATTCGTTTCAAAATTCTGTCCCCGAATGAACGATTTAATATTCGAATAAATCGAACATTTCAAATAATATAGATGGTCAAAGAATAAAATGATACTTTCAATCATCAAATTCCAATTCGAATCATCAGGAAATTTTTTCCAATGAGTCAAGCACGAAGCCATTTACATTTCAAATGCAAAGTTAATTATTGTTCATTATTATCTCAAATTAAAGACGTTCCCCTCATTACAAATTCAACAATCCTTATGTCGAAGAGAAATTTACATTTGCCATTGCAATTGACATTGCATGGATAGTTTAGAAGCCATTTTCAGGGGGGTGATATTAAATTTAATTCAGGGGGAAGAAAGTCCTTAAATTTCGAGGTTCACTGACAATTTAATGACATTCGCAATTTTATTGAAGTAAGGAAATGAGAATTTTCCAATTCACTTGTATGCTCAATTGAAATTTGAATATTTAGCAAATATAATAATATAATATTTATTTATTTTTACCAAATTGCGCTAAAATTGTCCAGTAATTTCATGGAATGATTAAACTAAAGTTTACAATTTTCATTGAATTTCCCACAAATTAGAATTTTCAATGACGAAATGACTCATTTATTTCAAAATTCTGTCCCTGAATGAACAATTTAGTATTCCAATAAATCGAGCATTTCAAATAATACAGATGGCCAAAGAATAAAATGATACTTTCAATCATCAAATTCCAATTCTGATCATCATAAAATTTTCCCCAATGACTCAAGCACGAAGCCACTGATATTTCAAATGCAAACTGATTTGATGTTCATTACTATCTCAAATTAAGGCCGTTTCCCTAATAAAAAATCCACCAATCCCCACCCTGCCATTGTAACCAACTGGCCCTCACAATTCCAATGATAAATTCTCTTTCTTCTCTATTTTAAGCAGTGCTTATAGTTTTCATGTCGCCAGCGATGGACAGATGCTACCAGTACCCTTTCCCCCTGACGCGCTGATTGGTCCCGGGATACCACGTCACGCACGTCAGATAAATACCCTGACCCACGGTGAGGTTGTGTGCGCTGTCACCATATCCAACCCCACGAAGTACGTGTACACTGGTGGGAAAGGATGTGTCAAAGTGTGGGACATTGGTCAGGGTGCAGGTGGCAATGCCAAACCGGTCTCTCAGCTGGACTGTCTTCAGCGTGAAAACTACATAAGATCAGTGAAACTGCTGCCAGACGGTAGAACTCTGATTGTCGGTGGTGAAGCCAGCAATCTCAGCATCTGGGATCTGGCCAGTCCCACGCCGAGGATCAAGGCAGAACTGACATCGGCTGCGCCAGCCTGCTACGCCCTGGCCATCTCGCCAGACTCCAAGGTTTGCTTCAGCTGCTGCAGCGATGGAAATATCGCCGTTTGGGATCTCCAGAATCAGACGCTCGTCAGGCAGTTTCAGGGACACACCGACGGTGCATCCTGCATTGACATCTCTGCTGACGGCTCCAAACTGTGGACGGGGGGCCTTGACAACACCGTTAGGTCCTGGGATCTCAGGGAGGGAAGGCAGCTACAGCAGCACGACTTCAGCTCACAGATCTTCTCGCTCGGGTACTGCCCCACTGGCGAGTGGCTTGCCGTGGGCATGGAGAACTCCAATGTCGAGGTTCTTCATGCTACTAAGCCTGATAAGTATCAGCTACATCTTCATGAGTCCTGTGTTCTGTCGTTGCGATTCGCTTCGTGCGGAAAGTGGTTCGTCTCCACTGGCAAGGACAATCTGCTTAATGCCTGGCGCACGCCTTATGGAGCTTCGATATTCCAGGTATTGCGGGATTTTTTTATGAGGGAAGGTTCCATGACTGTTTAACAGTTATTTGCAAGCTAGTCAATTGAAAAACTGCTTATGTGTACTTTATTTTAAAAAAATTGATATAACATAATACTTATGCTGATGAGCTCTATGATTTATTTTAATCATTTAGAGCTAGAAATACTGATTTTTAGAATGTATTTTTTGTGAAATAGACTGAATGACTCCAGCCGTAGGGGTAGAGCTACTTTAACACAAAAACATTTCAACACGTCGGTTTAACGCACAACAATTCAACACACAGGCAATTCAACACATACAATTCAGCACACAACACAAAAGAAGAATAAACCATCAAATGCATTGTGCATTTTAAGGATGTTCTCCACTCTTTCTGCCAAAATTCACGNAAAAAATATAACGTTTTTGCGTTTTGTCATTATTTAATGACTGACGAAATTTTAAGGTGGTGCGAACATTTTCCTGCGTTTTCTCTAAACTTTTAAAAAGAATCACAAAACTGTAGAAAAAACGCATGAAAATTATCGCACCACTACGCAACTTCGTGAGCCATTAAAGAATGACAAACCACAAAATCGTTATATTTTTTCACGTCACTCCCATCGATAATTTGCCAGAAAAATGAAAACAACGTCAATTTTGGCTAAAAGGGTGTCGAACATCCTTAACCTTTATTTATTCATTCTTTCAAAATTTTAATAAGACAGATTTATCAAACTCAGTAAGTTTCCCAGAATCGAAACCGAATACTAGCTTCATAATAGTCATAATTTAATGTTGTGGGCGAGGCCTCGTAAATAATCTACAACATCAATGTCCTCACGATACCGAGGCACAAAATTCTTCAATCTAACGTCCTAATCCCGATGGGCCTTTAATTAAAAGCCCGAGTTGTAGACCCGAGTTTGTAGCAGCGATGTCAGACAAGATATGAATGTTTTTTTGGACTCAAATGAAAGAGCGATTGTGATAACCTTTTTCGTAGAGCCGATTGATAGCTACAACAAATGTAATTACAAAAATTTCTATCTCCCTTAAATTCGGAAATATTCGTCAAAAACTCAACTGGGAGATAAGTCGACTTAAACTCTCTTCCCACTTCGCTACTGATTTGATCTTAAAAAATTAAGCTCAAATTACAAATTAAATCCAGACCACTTCAATTTCAAAAACACTTGCATTTACTGTCAACGAAACTTATTGCTGTTTTTCTTTCTACAGTCAAAGGAGTCGTCTTCAGTCCTGAGTTGTGACATCTCCACAGACGACAAATTCATAGTGACTGGATCTGGTGATAAGAAGGCCACTGTCTACGAAGTGATATATTGAGGCTCCTAAAGAATTTGTTAATACCATAGTTTATGTATATTTGAAGTCGTACGCTTGTTAAGATATTTATGAATTTAACATATTGTGAAAGAAGAATGTTGAGTGATACAGATAAATATAGCTGGACGACCTCTAGAGTAACAACACGAAAAGTTGGAAACGGGTTTCCTTTTAGAAAAAGAAAACAGCTGTATACCTAATTATTGTGCTTAACGTGCGAGCTTTTTTTTACCTAACATGTCAGGCTTAAGTTAACGTTGACTGTCACCGACTTTGGCTCTTCCTCCTTTGAAACTAAGATTTTTATTGGAATAAAATTCGAGTCAAGGGGAGAAGAATACGAAGAGTCTCGTAATAATGACCTAGAGGAGGAAGAGTGAAAGGGGAATTGAAAATGAACGAATGAATGAATGAAAAATGAGGGAGAGAACACGTCAGATTACCTAGGGACTGAAGCCATAATTTTAGGCATATAAATATATAAATATATATGTAGATATATATCTAGTTATGACGCTTGAACTAATTGAAACTGTAGGGAGTGGAGAATTAAATGTTCAGAGATCTGCTGCTGAAGAACACATGTACTATATATAAATAATGAGAAAAGGCAGTGGGAAAACGATGAACTACGAGAATATAACAATGAATCAATGAAAAATGGATATGAAAATTTAAAAAGTAGCATTTTCTTACTCATTTAAAACCGCAGTGACGTAAAAGCCGCGATCCAGCTGGAAAATTAGAACGTGAAGCTGATGATAATCGAAAAATCGAAAACAGTGAATAAAAAGAACAATTTAATTTAAAAAAAACAGGGGGAGTAGGACATTGTGGATAAACTCGAGAATATTTTTGTGACTGTCCCTGTAATCCTAGACGTTAAAGGAACTAAAACATTTTAAAATACCACATGAATAATTGGAAAGCAACGAGAATGACGGTGCGGTTTTAATGAACGATTTATTTGTTGATTGGCATAAATAGAGACGATTGATTTACATGTATTCATGATAGACTCATAAACAGCGCGTTAACTGGAGGCCTCTTGATAGGGTATTATTAAATTTACGATGATGCCAAGCATGTGATACAGATTACATACCGAATATTTATATTTTGTTACAGGATAATAAAACAAAACCTACACAATTACACTGTTGTGGTCATGCTCAGGCTCTCACGAATGTTTTGTGGAATGTTATTTATTGAGAGAATTCACTGTTCCAGAGGATTGGGGAGAGTTTTGGTGACCACAGCTCCGATAAAAAAAATAGACCAATAGAAACAACAATACCTCATGAAGACTCAATAGTTTATTATTCAGCTGAAACGAATCAACGTGTACAAATGCGAATATTCTTTTATAAATTGGGAGAACAAGTCAGTGATAACTGCCCATTTTATCCTTTTAGGAGGAGTATCACAGCTCGCATTATCCGGAATGAAATGGTAATACTGATACGAGAGTGGAAATACTGAACAAGATATGTGGAATTTAATTCGAATCACTTGTCAAGCACGTGTCACATGTTGTTCCTAATGAATTTCACTGGAAATTGCATTCAAATTTTTAGTCACAATCTGGTAAACTGCAATTTTGTCGGGGTGTTCTTCGTTATTGTTATGATTTTTGTAAGCGGAGGAGGGAATGGGGGTTTTAGGTGGAGCGAATGGAATGATACGATCTTTCGAAATTTTTAGTGTAGATGTATTTTGCCATTGGGGGTATAATTTGTATTTTGTAAAAAATGAGAAAATGAACAAAAAAATGGAAACAAGTTAATTTCTCAAGGAATTTTAATGACGCAGAGGGGGTGAATCTCGTGAAATCGTAATAAAAGAAATTGATAGTAATTTTTTGGCTTTTTCTTCAATTACCTTTGATGATGGTGAATTGCGTGCCTCGGAATTATCTGCTGATTGGTGCTTTTCGTTGATTTTATAATTTATTTAGAACTGATTCAATAACTGATTTTTTTTCTAAATAAATTGCATGGATTCGATAGTTGTTGAAGTATTTTTTTTGAAACATGCGGTCAATTTGTTAATTCTTGGGCTAACATTTTCCAAGCGCTTTCCGCTGTATTTTTATTTGTTTCTCATAATAAAATTGAAGAAAAAGAGCTTGGAAAATTCATTCCCGAGAGTTCTTACAGAAAAAATCCCTACAGAATTAGTTATGTAGATAAATCAGTCTTTATGAACTTTTTTTTATCAAAAAATATTTATTGGAAAATACTTATGCATAATTTATAACAGACTTGGTGCAAAAAACTGACAGAAATTCAATACATTTGCTGAGAAAAAACTTTATATTCCTCTACTATTTTAATTGATGATGAAACAATTTTTTTAAAAATGATGTATCGTTCTTCTAGCTTCTTATTGAGTTTTAAGTTCATTACAAGTGGAGAATTTTTTCAAATTTCTTTGGTTGAGCAGAAAAACCTCTGCGCATCGGCACTGCGCATCCAAAATGACCGCCGTTCTCTATTTTTTTGGCGTTCGTCTCTGTGTTTTAGACGAAATCAGAGGTAAAATCATCAAAATAATTTTTTAAAATGCTATAATTAGTTCATAATAAGGGACAACGATGATTTAGTCATGAAATCTACAATTATTCTGATGAATTAAGAGTGTTGAAACGTAAAAACAAAAATTACCAAGAGAAAATGGGAAAGACCTCTGCGCAACGTCTCTGCGCATATCAAAGATGGCTGACAAGGCTCGAGAGTTCGGCGTTCGTCACCGGATTTTAGGCGAAATTACGGGTAAAACCATCAAAATAATTATTAAAAATGCAATTAATAGTTGATAACAAGGCCCCATAATAATTCCATCATGAAATCTACAATGATTCTGATGAATTGAGAGTGCTGAAACGTAAAAACCAAAATTACCAAGAGACAATGGGAAAACCTCTGCGCAATATCTCCGCGCATATCAAAAATGGCCGACTACTCGACTTTTTGGCGTTCGTCTCCGGATTTTTCTCGAAATCAAAGCAAAAATCATCAAAATAATTCTTAAAAATGCAGTAATTAGTTGTTAATAAGGGACAACAATAATTGGATCATCAAATCTGCGAATATTGTGATGAATTACGGGTGTTTGAACATAAAAACAAGAATGCACGAAGAAAATAATGAAAACGTCTGCGCAATATCTCGGCGCACATTCAAAGAGGCTATCCTGACGGAGTTACTTTTCGAAGAAATTAATGGTAAAATCGTCAAAATAATTAATAACAATCAAATAATCAATTAATAATAATGGACAGCTACAATCGTACGAGGAAATGGTTGAATATTTCGATAAATTACGAGTTTTAAAAAGATATCAATGTCTCGAGTGGTGAAATTGGAGTCTCCATGTGACCGACGTACTTGTGACGCCATAAGATGACGCCTGGAGGCAATTCTGGACAATAAATCCAGTGTTTGAACAGTTTTGATGGATTCAGTGACTCTCTAATCAATTAAAAACGTGATAACACTAGTCGATGAGTGAAAATAGTGGACACAGGATTTTACTGGAATGTTAGTGTTGTGAATTGTGATGAAGTGGTTTTTTATTAATCCAGTGATTAAATGCTCTCGGGAATTTCTTTGTCGACGTGTGTATGAATACGTAAGATGGCAGGTTCAGTCACGTTTGTGCGGTATTTAATTATGAAAATTCTTAGTGCAAGTGATCTTCATGGAGATGAGCTTTTGGAGACATTGGAGAACATCTCAACGTCCTGATGAGGATTTCAACGTCCGGTGAGTCATCAAAATTTCCAATTGAAAGTTGATAGGTTTCAATCATTAATATCTCGAGATTGGCTGACACGATTTCAACAATTTTTATTTCATTTTGAACATTTGTTTTTCAGCCTGTGAATAAAAATTCACTCGTATAATCGGGTCATTGGATTCAGAGATATTAACGATTTAAAAAGCTGTTTTACTATGCTTTTTTGACCTGAATTTTGACCTGAATATTTATTTTGAGATGTCGACGACAATTTTTGGGTCTCAGGGCCCACGAACACGGTAAATAATACCTGATAATCAATTTCGTCTACTTTTACTTCCTATAATGGAAGCATTGAAACGGTTCTATTTTTAGATTTTCGAATTTTGCCTGGAAATTATGTAAAATGAAATGTGAAAAATACGAAGTTTTACAACTTTTAGAAAGTCGAATTTCAAAAATTTTCAAATTTTTCAAAAGCTTGTTTTTCTCTATTTTAGAGAAATCGTCATTTGTTTTTAAATCGCTTTTTCACAAATATTTCGGAAGCTGTCCAACTGATTTCAATCTTTTTTTTTTTCAAAATATTCGTAAGAATGTTCCCTATCGCAATTGATCAAGATATGCACTTGTTCGGTTTTTCGCTCGAAATGGTTGTTCGTACTATTCGGAATATCGACATATTAACTTCAAATTGGGCATGAAAATCCCTCGTATCACTACAGTGCTTCGTCTTGGAGATGGGCTGAATTAGATGGTTAGTTTAGGATATATTGGACTTTATATATAAATCTATTTTCTTGAATATCTAGAAAAAAACTCAACCGATTTCAATTCTATTTTTTCGAAATATTCATCTCGATGTCTTATGAAGCTGAAACTAGCGAAAGATTCGGCAGAAGATTTATCTCAGACAAATCTAGGGGTGTACAAATGTTTTAAAGTAATATAGAAGCTCTCTCGCACTTAAAAAACCTTTTTACATATGATTATTTGACTCTCCTACACTTGAATATCCCCTAAATTGAATTTTCCGCTGACGAATATTCTGCTAGTTTCAGCTTCATCGATGTCGTCTATTTCAATCGACCAAAACGATTTAACAATACGATGTATTCTCATTTTTCGTACGCACTCTAACGTTTGAAAGAATGGAGATATCAACTTGTTCAATTCTAAATGTAAATTCGTAATTCGTTGAAAATAGAGATACCTCTCGTTTCATTTGAGGTACATTCTACTCTCTCTCGTGTGAAATAGATCAGCTGATGTTCATAGCCCTCAGGGTTACCATCCGAGCTCGACAGTATTGTGTGACGGTAGTACTCCCGCTTTATCATCAAACACCCCACTGAGGGTCGACTGCAACTGCTGGAAAACTACTAGTTCCATAACAAAGTTAAGGAAATCGAAATTTCTGGGTAAACGACCCAATGAACTCTTGCATTTAATTACAGTCCTAACTTCTCACTCAAAGTGGAAGTTGAGAGTTTCCCAGTGTAATATTCCCTTCATTAAGGAGTTACCTAATAGTTACTGCAAACAATTCTATTGATGATGGGGAAATAGAACAACGAAGTGTCAGTTGTTCCATCATCGATTCAACAAATTTGAAGAATGATAAATGGTATTTGTGTTGGGACAGATTGGCGTCAGGGGAATTGCTTAAGGGTTGATTCGCTACCTAACTATAACCAATCGAACTCCAACCCCCTTATCGATTAGCCTACACCGTCACGACATGATAGCGCATTGCTGAGAATACTTCTTGCTAAAGTATTCATTTTCAGCAAGTGCTGAGGTCGTAAGGTAACCCTGCTGTTTTTATTTTGAACAATATAAAATTGAATGCATCGAATTTTCTAGGGAATTTGCAAAATTCTTGGGCTATTTTCATTTGTTGCAATTGTAGCATGTAATTAGTATAGTTTCGGTGAATTTTGGTGAATTCATAATTCTTAAGCTGTGATAAGGATTTGAATTAAACAATTTTTCAGTATCTTATTAATCTTGTTTTCCAGTTAATTAAATTTTATGAGTTAATCACTTGAAAATTTCAAATTCATTAGTATAAACAAACTAAACAACACCAATTAATTTAATGGGCAATGAAACGGTAAACGGTTTTTGGGAAGTTTTTATTTTGAAGAATAGAAAATAGAACGCATTAAATAATCTATGAAATTGGCAGTATTCTTGTGCAATTTTCATTTAAAATGTTAGAATTTTGAATACTCTTGGCAACCAAAAATTTGCTTTGGTTTTTGATGAATTCATAATTTTAAAGTAGTGATTAGACACCAATTTAATAGATTACTTGAATTTTGAATTGAAAATAAATTGTCAGTTTTTAATCGAGGTGGTTTTTCTGTGAATTAAACATTCATGGATAGATTCACCTGACCATTCCGAATTTATTCTAATTTTGATGAATCTTCAAACGGAAATTCAGTTTCTTTCAATTTTTTCGTAAAATTATGATTTTTTAATTTCGAAATTTCGTGAAATCTCTCAAATTATCGGAATTTTCAATTGTTGGAAGTGGTTTTAGGCCACATTTCGGTCAGCAGCACTCGAAATGATCTCAATTATTCACTCAACAAATTGCACGACGTTCCGAACGCTCAAGGCGCTCCTCAGATGCATGTTTTATTCTGTATCAAGAAACCAGGCATTACATTTCAATTAAAAACTATTGCACAATTATCACCATCAAACAGCACGAAAAAGGAATGAAAATTATCTTAAAATTGCTATTTACCAACTAATCAATCCATAAGGAACCAAATCAAGATTTTCATTCGAATATGAACATTTACTATCGGATTGGGCTGAATTTTTTAAATTCTCATTAATCTTACTGAATAATTAAAAAAGAATTTCATCCTTTGATTTTCTCAATATAACTTATGAGTTTTCCACCGCGAAATTTCAGTGGAAAATTGCTAAATTACTGGGTTTTTTAATTGAATGTAAACATTGACAATTCAATTTGTCTAATTTATCTATTAATTGAATTCTCCTAATATTCTCCTGTTTTCCTAATTCTCATTAATTTTACTTTATACGGGAGGGCCGGGCAAAATGGGACGTGTTGAGATCGTTTCCCATTGTCA